AAGTTACAGATCAAGAAATCTAATATTTATTAAGCATGAGGATCAAATGAAATAATATAATCCTCGAGAAAATTATAATAGAAAATGTTAACCTCATTTCAAATTGAGAAGTTTAAAACAAAGATTTAGAGTAGGTTGCTGATTGGCAAATGTCATTGCATATGAAAATTTCACATATTTTTAATAAATATTTTTGGAATTAAGTTCGATTTTAATTAAGAATCGAAACAAAAGCGTTGCTTTTAAAACTTCCATCCCTTGAGTAGATTTTCATTTTGAAATTAAGTTGTAATTTAACAAATCACAAAATTTCAGTAACATGCTCTATTATTCTTTTGCTTCATTTTACACATATTAAATGTGAGAAACCAAGTAAAGCAAGAAAGGGCACATTTCAAAATATTTAAGATAAGCTAAAATACAAGTAGCAGCTTCTAAAACTCTTTAATGTAGAAAACTAAAATTCGATCGCATTCAAAAGGCAGGCTTAATTCTAGAAGGTAAAATCAGCAGCTGGGTTCAGTAGATAAAAATTTTGGTCACAACTTTTGATTTCACTACTTTTTGATTTTTTGAACAAAACTAAAATAAATAAAATAAAAATAAATAAAATAAAAATAAATAAATTAAAAAATAAAAGATGCGTCTAGTTTAAAAAACGCACCTTTCCTTTTCTTCCGTCTATCCCGCGAAACATCGTAAAAGCANCAGCAGCTGGGTTCAGTAGATAAAAATTTTGGTCACAACTTTTGATTTCACAACTTTTTGATTTTTTGAACAAAATTAAAATAAATAAAAGATTTTTGTAGTTAACACTTAGCTATCGAATACTGACACAAAATTTTGAATTTTTATTCCCCAACTTAACACAAAATACTTAGCACAGCCTATACAAATGCCTAGCTGAAACAGAGTTTTTCTTTTCATGCTTTGATCACACATAAGGGACCATTAATGAATTCGATTTGGCCCCCTAGCTGCTGTAATTTTTAATGAATCGATTTAAAAATTTATAGAGTTTAAACAGATCTTGGCACCGGTGTATCAATTTTGATTAAATTGGAAATGTCTGGATTGATCTGAAAATTGGCCCACTTGACGACACGTTTAAATAAGTTTTTAAAAAAATTTTAGTCAAATTTCAAACAATGCTTAAATTATATTTTTGTAAGAAAATAAAAGTTAAAAAAAATTGTGTAGATAAATTTTGAAATAAAATTTTTTTTTTTTCTGAGACGGATGAAAGTACTAAATGATTAAGAGAATATTAATTGCATTTCAGTTTTAATTTGGAAAATTATGCTAAATTAAAAAGAAATCGCAGAAATTAAAAGTTTTCTGATCAGGAGAAGTTAGAGATAAAAATAGATAAGAGATAGAGATATTATATGTATATGTCAAAAAATCGAGTGAAAAATATTATTCGCAGATTGTGTGTTATTTAATAAATATAACAAATGTTTTAGTACCAAACCAAACCCTTTACTATAAATCCCTTTAGGAAGCTGTTTACATATCTGTTACTTGACTTGAAAACAATGCCAATGCTTGATGAAAGATCATATTATGCAAGCTACAAAGAAAACACACCATCTCAGAGTTATTGTAAATGCCATCGAAAGTTTTCAATCGAAGAAAGACATAACTTTCAGCTATACTTCAAAAGGAAATAAAAAAAAAAGTTTTAAAGCTTACTTAAGGAGAAAAAATACTTAAACTTGAATTCTAAAATAGTCTTTCCACGAAACGATTGATTTTACGTAAGGATTTAAAATATTTAGACATAATTTTTAAGCAAGTCTTTTCTAGAAACGATTGAAAAAGTTGATTTCCAAAAAACTGTTAAAAAAAATTGCACAATTGTTTACTTAAATTGAGGGGTGATTTTATTTTAAATTCGGCTTATTCTACATTCTCTTTGTTCATTATCGTCTCAAGAAAGTATTAAAAAAAACGTTGAAAAGATAGCCATTTTAGTGAAATGATCTTTTCCGGCATCGCTATAAAATATGCTATCATAAGTTCCTTCAAGAGATTTATCACTCATGTCAAAAAATCATGTTTCATGATTGTACAAATTTTCTTTCAATAACATTACTAACTTTCATGTTATTTTTAAGTGCCACGATATTTTGCACTTTAATATAATATTTTACAAAGAATAACTTAATTTTGTTCTTTATTTAGTAATATTTAAATAGAAAGAACTTTTACGAGGTTGTTTAGTTAAGGACAGGTTAATAATGTTTAGCAGATTTTGTACCAGAATTTTTGGCTTGTGCAAACATACATCTCTAAAAAAACTTGGTCATAAGGTCCTAAGCATGCAGTTTTATTATTATTTAAATGTAAATAAAAGTATAACTCTAGCCCTACAGTTTGTCCAAAGAATATATAATTAATATAATACTTCTCTGGTTTACATTTATAACAGTTTCTAAATCAGGCATCGGTTCAATATATGTTTCATATCATTATTAAATAGTTTTAGACTTAAGCGTGGAATGTGTCGCAGGTAGAATAAATGTTGAATTTTATTTCATCATAAGAACGAGATGCGAACATACTGCACGATCTGATAATCTTATGCTTTAGGGTATTACGTACTCAAGTAACGTATCACGTACTCGAGTAACAAAAGTAAATTGATTTAGACACTGTACCTGACGCAAAAACCAAAGAAAGAAAATCTATAACATTTAACAAATTGTTACAAGGATACCATGGAATAAAACATGAAGAATTTATTCTTTAAAGAAAAAGCTCTATATTTTGAGGAGCCGAATTTGTAGAGATATCATTCATAGATGCAAATAATTGAAGATCACAAATCAAAGAATACTTTTTCTTCCATATTTATGTTTCAAATATGAAAAAAGTTGCAGAGTAGCTGAAGAGAGAGAAGATCATTATTTTGTAAGCATCTTCTTCACGGCTGAATTAAGGAGAATGCAACCTTAGTAAAGTAAAGCATTCCCGTAATAGCTCGTTGTGGGCCAGAGGTGTCATAAAGGTTTACACTGCACAATTTCGTGACCAACGGCATGATTGTGGCAATGTGGACACCACTTCACACAGGCCACTTTAACTTCCCAGACTAGCTGGTACCCATCTATCAGAAGCTGGGTGGACCAGCCAGGGGACATTATGAAATGCGACAATGGATGAAAGTGGCTAGTAACAAAATAAATATAGGAATTAAATTTTATAGAAATCTCTTTCCGGCTTTTTTAATGTACATTTTATGATAAAATTTTGTCCTTTCCAAGTTAGTATCAAACCCAAATTTGAATCAAACGTACTTTGAATCTTTCGAGAGTTAGTCCCGTACTCTTTGGGAGAATATTATCGCACGTAAAATAATAAAGTGGAATTAATTTGGTGAGTGATAGGCCTCTCTTCTCATATTGCTTCTGCACCATGTCTGAACCTTCTTTGATTTGCGAGCGGCGTTGAGTATTGTTGAAAGCAAAAAGACTGCCCTTCGTATACATCAGAATCAATCAAATACTTCAACACTAGCTCCAAACAGTACTTATAAGTACAGTTTGGAGAAAAATCAACACTATAGTGTTGATTTTTTTCACTTCTAGATCAATAAAAAAATGGAAGCTTTCCTTTTTGGAAAATCAAATTCAATACATCACTTTCGATGCATTCTGGTATCGTCCTACTGCCAACTTATCTGTAGAAAAGTCAAGTCGGCAAGACTTGCTACTTATACACTATCGGTTTGCTGATTGTGATTGTTTTGTTGGATGAAAGAAATCTCATCAGAAATGAAAATGTCCCAACCCGTGGCCGACGTAGCTTGCTTTTGTGCGCTAGTAAGATCGTTAATTCATTATTTTTTCTTCCTTTCTCTTATACATATATTTTAACAGTAAATCTTCTTTTGAGCATTCTGTTCACCATTGATGATGATCTTTACATGTTTTTTAAAGTACATCGAATAGACTGGCATGGATAGAGCCTAATCCGTTCTCAAACGACTTAGATCACTTTAGCTGTCTTAACCATTCTTTCGGCTACAACTCTGATTAATTGAACTATTACCAGTGTTTGTGATTTTTTTTAAGCTTACGAAAAACACCTTTATTCTCTTGAAATCTTCACAAGATTTAAACTTTTTTGTATAAAAATTTTGAATAGCTATCGAAAGGCACCATTTTTAGTGTTTCTTTCTTTTTTTAAGCTTAAAACAGCAGAAAAAAAAGGATGTATATAAAATCTCTTTAAAACTGCATGTTTATTATGAAAACTTCGATGAAAATTTAGAGTTAGAAACAGGTTAATTTTAATGATTTAGCTAAGCACATTCCAGAAGAAAATTGTCTGGAAAATTCCAAATACATGCTGGAAAATGATTTAATTGACGTATTCCATAATTTATTCACCATTTTGAAGATATATATTGTGATATCCATAACAAGTTTTAAATCCGAAAATTCGTTTAAAAAATTAAATTTGCCAAAAAAAAAAAAGCAATTAACCAGTTTTAAAGAAAGGCATTAAAAGGAGAAACAAATCTCTTTCTACTTATGATGTGATAGAAAATTCTGTTTATGTTAAATTATTCTAAAATGGTTAATTTTTCTTTGTAAAAGTTACTATCTCACTTCTTTTGATATTATGTAAATTTATTTCAAACTTCCCCTCTATTCTTTTTAGAAATTATATTTATTGCTTTATGTATATTGTGCACATATGAATAGTCAAGTGATTAATTGATCTTAAATTTAATTAGTAAAATATGGATCAAATTTATCAATGTTTTGTAACTAACTTAGCATTAATTTATTATCAGTATTAATTTATTGCTGCGATAGTTACATTCCTTTCCTTATTACAATTCCTTTTAGTTCTTTTCTTAACCAAGTTGATTTTAAGAATAAATTTAATTAAAAAAATTCATAATTGACTTGATGTATAGAGGAAAAGTTCTCAATTTTAGTTCTAATAAATATAAAGAAATCAAAATCCAAAAAACTAGCAATAAGTTCTTTTAAATATTTTAATATCAGTACTTAAGAAATTTATCAAACACAGAAATGAACATACATAAATCAAAGCAAGCTTAAGTCTTTGGTGAAAACAAACAAGTGACTGAAACAAAAAAATGCACTATTTTATCACATACATATTGAAAGACAAAGTTCGCATGAATTAAAAAATATTCAAAAACATGCAATAAATAAATGTTTCATTCATGTTTAAAAGTAACAAATTTTACCTTAATATGGCAAGTAAATTATACAATGCAGTGTCCGTTGTTAATTAATATCATATTCGTTAGGAAGACGTTTGATCGTATAAAGCAGTATATTTCATAAACTTTACGTTTGATATTTTGATTAAATATTTTTTACTTTCAGAAGGGTCTTAAAATATTGGTGTATTGTTGATTTATTAACAGATTTTGAATTCAACAATTAGAAATTTGTATAAGTTTTTAATTTTGAATATTATCTCAAATGTCAAGCATAAATTCTAATACATTTCTTAATTATCCATGACACTTAAATCTTGCCTATTAGACACTTTACTTTACACATTAACAAAATCAACTTAAAATGAATGTTAAAATGTACCCTCAACCTTTATTGATAGCTGCATTGAAATACAACATAAACAGGAACTGGTTTAAAATTCTTCATAGACATAATGGCCAAACTTCTTTTATTTGACAAAATGACTAAGAGAAGGGATATCTTTTACTTACATGGTGTATCTCATTGAATAAAAAAACATTCTATCTATTCTTTAGTTTATTTCATTTGAATGCTGTTTCAACCCGCATTGAAATACAACATAAACAGGAACTGGTTTAAAATTCTTCATAGACATAATGGCCAGACTTCTTTTATTTGACAAAATGACTAACAGAAGGGATATCTTTTACTTACGTGGTGTATCTCATTGAATAAAAAAACATTCTATCTATTCTTTAGCTTATTTCATTTGAATGCTGTTTCAATACCGCTTTGCTTTATTTTTTCTTAACTGTGAGAGTTAATCAATGAGTGGTGATCATTAATATTAATGATTTTGGGCATTCAATAATTTTCAATTGTTTTTTGGTGCTGATACACCATTTTCTGTTTTATTTATTTCACTTTAACCTATTTCAAAATGCAAGCTTTACCTAGAGCATTGTTCTTTTTACTCTCGGGTGGCAGATTGAAATTTATTTGTATGCTATGTATGCATCTTTCAAAACTGAAACAAACAACAAAAAAAATCAGATAAGGAGGAAAGCATTTTTTTTAATCTCCAAAAGCTTGTTTTTAAAAGATAAGTTGATTTCATTAAATTATAATTTATCTAAAGGATGGTTTCAACAAATATTGTGATGATCCTGTTCTTGATGATTTGATTTTAAAAAGCAGCTATTTCTTAAACCAGGGATTTTATTAGTGGTGGTCACTATTAAAAAAACTAATTTCAAACAAAAGTATCAATAAAACAAAGAAAAGTATCAATATACAGAGAAAATAATTTGAGAAAAAATTAGAAGATATGTATATGTTTTAGAACTTTTTAATAAATTATTTTTTAACTGTGTAAAATTTCCAAACTACTATTTGACAATTACATTGGCTCCTACTCTAATATTTATAGACAACAGCGTTGAAAATATTTTTTTAATCAACTTTATCAGTAATTTAATTTTTACACACACATGGAAGGGGCGGCAAGTTAATATAATTAAATTTTAAAACTTATTCACAGTATAAATGTTTTTAAAATTGATTATTAATCACAGCAATTAAATATAAAGTTAAAAAAAATAACAAAATAAAATATCTAATAATGCATTTACATTTTAAATTCAAAATGAAATTTGTTTATCTTTATCTAGAATGAAAAATATTTATTTTTCAATAATAAAAAATAAAAAAAGGTTGGGTTTGACCATTTCAAAATATAAGAAGATTTGAAAGTTAGAATATATAAATAAAAGCATATTTTCATCACTAGAAATAAATAAAAGTTTAAAAAATTTTCTCGCATCTGGTATTTGTTACGATCCAACAAAATTGGTAGACTTACTCTAGTTATTTTACTTCTAGCTAGAATGCAACATTTACGTTTGTTGAAGAATAGAAACTATTACTTGACTATGAAATTGAATATTTTTATAAATGTCTAGAGCATATTAATTTTCGTAAACTGTCTTTAGACTTTGTATATACAGGCAAGGCACATCATGAAGAATGTGAATTGCTTAGCAACATATTCCTTTTACAAGAAATGTTATTAAATTCCATCTAGTTAACATCACCAATTGGTTGTCAAATCATTAAATTACTACAAATAGCTATTTTCAGGCCTGTTTGAATACAATTTTAGACAAAAATTGATAAAAACACGACTATCAAAAAATTAAAATAACTTATATTAATAAAAGTAGCATTTCAAATGAATACTAACAGCTAGTTCATAATTTTTAGCAACTTCCTTAACATATTTCCTAGCATTAGATGTTATATGATTCTCAACCATGATGTGCCCTACCTTCCTTTCACGTTTTGCCCAACTTTTGTGAAACACAAATTGTGTGTGTACATATATATGTATATATATCAGGGTCCTGTTTAATTTCAAAAATAAATTTTCCTTATATTTTCAGGAAAATGTGAACAAAATTAGACAGCATTGTTTTATATGCCATTTTTATTAAAAAAAGGAATGAAACCCATGTTTTTGTAGATGAAGATTTAGTAAGTAAATTTAAAAGTAAAAGAATATAAATTATAAAAAAAAAATCATAATGTAATAGTCGTATTAACAATATAAAATTAAATCAGAATTAAAAATAAAATAAGAACCAACATTTATTTATACATAAAGCTTGGTTAAAAGAAAGTTGCAATAGATATTAAATTATTATCACTAACCAAGTTAATTATATTAATGAATATATGAAGTGGTTATAATAGAGAAAAATTTGAAACAAGAAATAAGTATTTTGCAAATTTATATTTAACTTTCAACAAGCTTATGAATACCATGTCTTGGAAGATTTATAGGAAATACTTGCAATGGAGGTTAGATTTATTTGTTATCTCAAATTTTAAGATTTCCGGCAAAATTTTTCCAGCACTTGGCTAAAAAAAGCATTCTCAGTATTAAATAAGTGAACATAATGCAGGACATTACAAATAAAATGTCACACATATAATACAAGCAGCTGCTGCAATGCGTCAGGAAAAAGAATGACAATAACATAGAAGAATGTACAACTATAAAGATGACACAATGAAACTCCAATTAAAATAGAACAAAAACGAAATGGGTATTGACATCAAACATCTCGATTTTTTTTCATAAAAATAAAATTTCCAGGCAATACCGCACTTTCCTAATTCAGTGAGAACTCTGATATATACATACATGTATGTACACAATCAAAATGCATATTATAAATTAATAAATAAAAAAGTTATAGTATTTAATGCTAATTACAATGAAAATAGGAAAAGTATTTTCCATTTATAAAAAGATTTTTTGTTTTTACTATAAAATTTCAAGTTTGAATGCTTATTTCAACAAGTCTCTTAGTTTAAAATTAAGTATTTCGCGCAAACTTTAGTTTAAAATTGATCATTTATTATGAAACTAGTTTTAAGATGGGAAGTTTTACTTAGTCAAAACTGAAGCTCTACAATAATAAAGGGTAATACAAAAAATTCACTTCTTAAAACCAAAAAATTGGCAAATGTATAAAAATATAAAAAGTTTACATGAACAAAAACCATGTTTTCAGAAGACAGACATAATTACCTAGCAACAGCATCACAAATAACTTAGGAATTCTTAATGATATAAACAATAAAGCACAAAATATCTTAAAGTAAATATGTCCACATATAATTATAGATAGGAACATTTGTATAAAACTAGCTTATGAGAAAATATAAAGCTGACAGTTGTTGGAAAAAAAGTAAATGAGCATTTATTCTTTGGGTAAGTTAATACCTTGGAGGCACAAAAATGTGCACACTATTCTTATGACAATCTGCAAATTTTAAATATTGCAGGCAATATTGCTGCAAATTTTAAATATTGCATGTCTCAGGCCATCACATTATCAGCAAGATGCTGTGTGAATTTCTGTGACATTTGAGGAATTTTTATCTTTTTTATTAGGACTTTTAGGTTGACAAAGCTTATTTAAGCAATCTGATGATAGAGAACACCATGTCACACCAGCACCAGCTCGGCAGTCACTAATTTCTGGACCCATTCTCCACCTACAATATTATTTTCATTTAAAAAAATTATGAAAATGAAACTATGAACAAAAAGAAGTTATAAAGTTAAAAGAAATTGCAGATGGAAAATCTGAAACTATGAGATAACAAAACACAATATGAAGTAGTACTCTTCAATTTCCTTCCATTTAATTATCTCATTTCATAATTAAGGATTAATAAGGAAGAAAAATTTCTATAACTGAGAATAAGAAACTTAGAAAAGCTGAACTCTTTAATGGAGCACCAAGTAAAATATTTTAATGACACAGAAGCAAATCCCAATAATTGCACTTTTAGGGGAAAAAAAGGTACATCAATATATGAAGGTTTTTTGATTCACAGTGTGAACAAATTCTTCAAGTTTCACCGCCTATTATTTACTTTTTTTCAAAAAAAAAAAATAAAGTAGTTATACACTATATTCCAATCCATATCCTAACTTCCATGAGCAACCGAATTACATTTTTTAAATTAATTCAAAATCATAATTTATGTAGATCAAGGAGCCGGTAGAAGGATCTAAAATAAAAATACTTCCAATTATTTGATACAGAAACAAAATTTTTTAATTGCCCATCATCTATAGATCAGTTGCATTTATTAGACATTTCAATAATGGTTAATTTGAACATTTTATATAAAGAAAATTAATTAAATAAAAGAAAGAAGAATGTGTATGTAAGACAACAGAATGAAAATAATTTAATAAAAAATAATTTGTAGCCATTTTGCATTGTTCTGATTTACTTTTTTTTCATTACTTTAAGATCATTGGGATATTTTATATATACCATTTTTTACACTCAATGAACTTTTGATTTTATTTAAGAAAAGAATGAATTTTTTAAGAGTCATACTTCAGGTATAAAACTATTTTTCTGGCACTAGCATAATCTATAATATTTTTTGACACTATACAACTATGTATCTTTCTATTAGAAAATCATATAGAGATCATCATATTAACTTGACAAGATAAAAAAAAATAGAGTTCAAATATTTATTTTACCTGTCTTCTTCCACATCATAGATTTCAACAGCATTTAAATAATGAGTTCCATTATGGCCACCAATAGCATAAATATAACCACCAAGCGTTGCAGCTCCAACTCCACCTCGATTGCAGTTCATTGATTTAACAAAGACCCATTTATCAGTATCTGGGTCATATTTTTCGACTGAATTTAAAGGAACATTATTTTCAAATCCACCTGAAATCATTATAATTGTTAGAAACAATTACAAAAAGCAAAGTTTTTACTAGTTTTCTTGCACAATAAACATACCTTTTTCCAAGATAAAAGATATAATGTAGTATAAACCGGGACAAATAGAAGAAAATTGTCATAAGGAATTTGATAAATTTAAATGTCTTTAAACAGATTGGTATTAAATTAATTTAAGACAAATCATTGATCATTTTAAGGGATACAGTTTAACAAAGTTTTATAATATATTACTTGCAGTTTTGAAACACCAACAGACAATGCTTGAAATATATTTCTAATTCTCAACTACAATTTATTGGAAGTAAATGTTTCATAAAACTAATGTTCATCCAAACTTAAAATTTGAGATCTCTCAATACTATATTCACAAAATATCAAACTTGTTTATCATAAGCACTAATTTAACATTATAATCTGAAAAAAAAAAATGGTGAATAAGATTCAAAATATCTATTTAAAACTGTACCGTTTTAAGCGCATCATGAGTTTGACTATATATACAGCAACACATAATCAAACTAGTTTATTGCACCCTAATTCAACAAAGACTCAAGAATAACTAGGAAATATTTAAAAATTAGCTATTTACATGTTTATATAGAAAAAACGCTTTGTTATGAGCATAACTGAGAGAAATCTTCAATACAGTCAACCCTCCTATAACGCGGTACTCTCAGAACGCGGTTTCCGTCAACAGCATCCCATAAGTTCCTTCAGCGTAGCCTAAGCTGTTTAGTTCGTTAGGGCCTATTTGAATTATAAGGGAACAGATGGCGCCAGTTTCATGTAGGTCCAAGCAGTGGGATTGCGACATAGTAACTAGATATGTTTACATAAAGATGATCTCCGGCTTATCTCATAGCAACATCGGTTTTAGTCCTTTCAGAGCTCTTTCACAGTGCACACGTTTTGTTGAAGACCAAGTCTTTCTAAAACTTTTTCTGCACCGTCCGTTCGTTCAGCTTTTTGCTGTTTAATTTGTGGTTTATAATTGGACAACATTACACAATACTGTAAGTAATATTCTTAATTTGTTCTGATATAATAAAAATAAAGTAATTATTAACCCTAGATTTGCATCATGTCAAACACGAAAGAAACAAGGAAAGGGTTAAAAAGAAAGTTTATATCTCTTGAAGATAAAATCGAAATTTTAAATCGTTTAGAAGGCGGGGAAAAACTATCGTCGGTTGCAAAATCAACCAAGTTGAATGAATCTACAGTTCGAACCCTAAAGAAAAATGCAGACAATATAAGGAAAACTGTGGAAGATGGCTGTCCGTTAGGTGCGAAACGTGTTACTCGCACACGGAATTCTAAGTATCATTCGGAATTTCATCCCCCCTCTAATCATAACAGGCAGGCTGGAAGAGTATCGGCGACTGAATTAATGACATCTGCGGTTTTTAATTGTTTATTTTGTTCGGAAAAGAACCACTCTTCTGATTGTTGCGAGNATTGGATCATCCAAATGTAAAAATTGTCTTCCTTCCTCCTAACTGCACGTCATTAATACAACCTTTGGACCAAGGAGTCATTCAAACTTTAAAAATGTATTACACACGCCAAGTTTTCCAAACCATTTTCGACAGATTAGAAAGTAGTGAAAATAAAACCCTTACTCAAGTTTGGATGGAATTTTCTATTTTAGATTGTATTAGAACCGTGTCATCGGCTTGCGCGGAAATTAAACCATCAACGCTTAATGCGTGTTGGAAACCCCTTTTACCTGAAATGGTTCAAGCAATACAAGATGATTCTACAATTTCACTCCCAGTTACAGAAATAGTAAACATTGCTTCTCGTTTAGGCGATGAAGAATTTACAACAAACCATCAGGATATAAGAGAACTCGTACTCGAGGAATAAACTTTAGATGAGGATGAACTGATGGATTTAATTGATGCACCCACCTCAAATCCATTGGTAAATGAAAATAAGAAAAACGAATGGGTGCCAAATGTCGATTTACAAGATGTAAAAAAAGGGCTAAATTTGGCTAAAGAATTAGAACTCCATTTCATTGAAACTGATCATTCAACGGTGCGTAGCGCAAAGTTTAAAAGAAAGTTAAGAAATTGCTTAGCTCCCTATAGAGAGGTTTTAGTGGAATTAGAAAAAAAAGCTACAATCGAAAACCAATGTGAAGATGAGCCAAGTGAGGAAGATATTTTGCCTATTAAAAGAAGACGAGTTAGGTGACTCATATTATCTGACAGCGAGGATGAGTGTTGAAAAATTAAATTTTACAAAAGTCTTTCTTGCGTTTGTTGGAAAACAGATTTATAGTTTAATTTTGGTATCATTTCTTTATATAAACTTTTCAATTCAATAAAAATAATTTATCTTGTCCTTATTGGTCTCCATACAACGCGGTACGAATGATGTGATTTGTACTAATTCTGCATTTCTTACAGCGCGGTAGACGGTTTCCATAGAACGCACTACGAATTAGCCTGGTTTGTACGGTTAAATCCGAGTTTCTTATAGCGCGGTTTCCATATAATGCGGTACGCACTCACTGCGTTATAGGAGGGTTGACTGTACTTTAAAATTATTTAAGTTTCTAGAAAAAAAAAATTATCAGATCTTTGAAGGAAATTTCATTCCCTTTCCAAAAAGAGTATGTTCAAAAATAACAAAGAGAAACATACAATATCTATGGAACAAATAGTTAAGTTTATTAAATAAATTAATCTATCAATATTTGTTTACCAATTTTCAGAATTTAGTCTTAAATGCATCAGTGCCTTTAATATAGAAAAATGGCGTCTCACCACCTTTGTGGACACAGTCCATATAACATGACACTATGTTTACTTTCCAACTAGCTAGACTGTTAAAATATTAACTGGAGTTCTGTGGTGAATGACAATACAAGTTTAATTGCTTTATGTCTCCAACAAGCAAATTTTAATGCCATTTTATTGCCAAATAGAATGTTTTGCTTCATAAAAAACTTTTGACTATTTTCGAATTAGCTAGAAGTATAAAATCACTCCACCAGCTTATAGTGAAAATTTAAATAATTTCCTCAATTTTTATTTTTAACCTTTCAAGAGTGAAAAAAATGCCCTACTTTTTTGATATTAATGCAAACCATTAAAATCAAAATAGTTTTTATCCCCTTAAATAAGTAGATTCTACTGAATAACTCTAAATTTTGAAAAATGCAAAGATAAAGCACATCACTTTAGTTTCGGACATATATGCGATGACCACAATTTGAAACCTCTTCTTAAAAAACATATAGGTTCAAATTTTCCTGCTCCACAAAGAGTTAATCGTTAATTGAAATTTAAAGCACTGTTCAGATTGCTCAAATTTTAATTGTAGTTCTGTGTTTGATGACTACTATAAGTTGTGTTGCCTAAACGCTGAAAGCAAAATTGACCTTCATTTTATTGCTAATTGACCTTTTGAACATTTTACGAGTAAGCAGACAAAAGCAAAATAAAAAAACATAAAAGATAAATAAATAAATAATGAAACTCAAACAACTACTTCTTCAGTTTACATAATAATTATTACAAAGTACTAAATATCAAGGGATTTTACTTATATAAATTTACTTTATGGAAATTCAATATTGCTTAGAAGAAACATTTTATGTTTTGAAAGAAGGTGGGCGATTTTAAATTTAGTTTGGGTTGATATTTTTACCCATGTATTTGCCTAAATTCTTAAGAGTCATACCAGATAAATTAAATAATTTTTTTTCTTTTCTTAAAAAAAGAATTTAAAAGCTGAAAGTAATGACGTATTTGAGTACATTTGTATTTGTCATTAGAAAGTTTAGTCAAGCACTTTTCACAAGAAAAAATGAACTATTAACAGATTAATGCCATTAATTTGTTTATTAAACAAATTAATTTCAATTAAAAAAGTATTCCAACTAGCTTTTCAGAACATTGCAGAACTTTTCCCTAAACAAGAATAAAATATTAAAAAAAAAAACTCACATAATGTAAAACACTGCCAATTTTTAAACAAGAAAAACAATGCATTACCAATTACATAGATGACACCATCTAATACTGCAGCCCCAGCTCCAGCTCTACATCTATTCATTGGTGATATAAAAGTCCATTTATCAAGATGAGGATCATATACTTCACAAGTATTCAATGATACTTGTCCACAATTTCCTCCTAAGGCATACATCAAACCCTACATTTGTAGTTAAAAAAAAGTACATATTTAAATGAATTGTTGTGCAAATTTTATATTAAAAGCTTGCTGTTTATTAAATAAATATTTATGATAAAAATTAACCATAGTTTATACCTAACTGAAACAAATTATATTGATGTAAAACATTTATAAAATCAATTGAGAGAAGCATATTTTATTCTTTTTCATTCACATAAAGAAAAATTAAGTCATTCAAAATTCTGAGAGCTTTAAATCTTATTACAAAGTATGAAAAATCACACGAACTAAACACCTCCAAAGTAACAAAATAATCCTTTAAGTATTTCCTGAGAAATTTAAAAATGTTGAAATGTGTCTATTCTATTATTGTAGGGTAGTGTGCATAGATATATTAAAATTATTGTAATAATTTATGACAGAATTCAGGCATGAAAAAAGTGTTTCAGAAATAGATAAACAACAAACCTTCAATTTTACAACAGCTACTCCTCCTCTAGCACAGTTCATTGGGGCAACAACACTCCATACATCAGAATTAACATCATATCTTTCAACAATGGAATAGAAAACAACATCATCTAAGCCACCAACTGCATATACAGGGCCACCCATTGAACAAAGTCCAAGGCCTCGCCTAAACAATGTTAGAATTACCTTTAGTTATAATTATTAATAAAATATACTATTAATATATATATATATACACACACACATATATATCAGGTCGTCGCCGAGAGGTGAAAATAAGCAGGTTTCAGGTTCCATACAAAATTATTATTTACTAAGACATGAAGAAGAGCTAGCATCCAAGTGACAAAAGATCAAAGTGCTCCTCAATAAAAGTTAGAGAAAATCTTTCAAAATAAATCCGTAAAATGCTTCATTTTAGGGAAATCTTAGTAATCATAATTGGTCTATTAGATAGGTCGAGGAAAAAAGTCTTTCTCACGATTCCATGAAAGGGAGAAATCAAAAATGTCAATGCATAACTTGAAGTCAAAAATACAGGACGTGAATATTAAAGGGTGAGAAAGAGTGTTTAGTTCAGAATAATAAATTAAGAAAAAAATTTAGATAAAGGAATAACATAAAATATTAATTGAAGATTTATTGATGATTTAATTATTTGATTGCAATGATTTTGATTTAATTAAAGATATTTATCCTATGGAACTAAATTTAATAAAGACTAATTCAGATGAAAATGGCACTTTTTTTTAAGATCTTGATATTAAACTTCATTACCAAAAAATTTTCATCAGATTATACGATAAAAGAAGAGATTTTAAATATAATGTTATTAGTTAAACACATTTTAATTGCAATCTATACTTTAAGATTTCTAAGAATACTTTGATTGGTCAAATTATTAGGTTTAAATTTATTCATAATAATAAAGCAGATTTTCGTTCAGCTATCGAGAATTTTAAGATTACATTAGAGAATAATAATTTTCCTTTTAATTACTGTAATTATAATATTTTAATTCAAAATATTTTAAAGATGTTTATATAATTTGGCCAATATTGAAGTCCGCATAAATAGGCCTATGGGGTAAGATTAAAATTTTTTTGTTCCTGAAGCATATAGATGGCAGCACTTTTATAGAATTTTTACTCATTGAATGTTTTATGCTTTATTTTTCAAGATTTTCAAAACGGGTCAGTAATTGATTTATTTCTAAAGTTTTCTTAATGATTTGGCAATCTATATATTATTTTGATTTGGTTATTCTAACTGTGACTTTATCTTTATTTATTTTTCTTATATGTGGGCATTTCGTTAATAAGTCTTACTCCGTGGACTTTTAAATTCGGTTTGTCATTAATTTTTCATTGCATTTATATCTCAACTTTTCTAATTGCTTCTTATTTGTTTATCCATTATGAGGCCTCACGTCACAATCAGTTTTTGGTATTACCACTGACAACAGAAAGGCTCCTGTGCATTGGCTGCTCCCAAGTGCTGTCTTGCTAACATACATACCTTAAAATATTCTTTGTTTTCTGCTAGAATTTCTGACTTTCTCAATTAAAATAAGACAAATTTGGTTTTAGCTGCTTTTAGCACTTTTTCATTTTGATTTATTATTTTAAATGCTATTCAATTATTTTGGCTTTTCTGAATTTGTGTAAATCAGTCTCATTCTTTGATTAGATTATTTAGTGTTAAGTGCCAGTTCCATTTCACATTCATAAAAAAGTATCAATTATTCCTGCATTACATCACTGATCAACCATTTTAGATAATAAAATCAGGGTTGCCACTTACGAAAAAAAATGGCAGTAGGGACTATATATTTTTATCTTTTTTTTGAGGGGGAGGGGAGGCAAGAAATAACTATACATGAATTCAACGTCCTTTTCTTGATTATAACACATGTATTTGTGACATTTTTTCAAAGTAACATTACAATTGTTAACAGGCCCGGACTGGCCAGTAGGCAGACCGGGCAAATGCCCGGTGGGCCGGTCTGGCCTGAGGGCCGATTGTACCGAGCCAGCAGCGACAAATTTTTTTTTATACATTGCATGAATTCAAACAATATTGCGCAAATAATAATAACATTAAATAACATATATATGATATATGTGGTAATAATATTGTTTTAATATACAGGGTGATTCAGATCATGCGTGCTACCCATTTTTTTCGAGAATGGAGCAAATAATCGATTTGAAATAAAAAATCTAATAACTAAATCGACCCCAAGGAATTCAATAGTGATATTGTTAATTCCCGGAAGTACCGGAATTTGAACACAGTTTTGATTTTTTAAATGGAAACCTATATCTTATTTGGCATCATTGNCCAATTCTTACAATTTAATTAGTCTAGCATTAAAATTTTTACTAACATTGTCAAAAAGTCAGGTGGCTTGTGAAAGATCATTAAAAATAATTAAAAATAGAATGAGGAGTACTTTATCTTCTGATAATTTGAATGCTCTCATGGTAATGGCAAATAGAAAAAAAATCTATTAATGAAATTAGATAGCGACGACATAATCGATCAAGTAGCAGAAAATAGTGAGCCTCTTCAAAAGTTAAATTTAATTTTAATTTAGTGACTTTTGAAGAAGCATCAAATTTATTTTTAAATTTTTTTTTATATAAATCATTCATGCATGTGTAGTATAATAAATATTTTTATTTACTCTTCATCTTTCACCTTCTTTTTGATTTTATCAACCTATTACCTCATAAGAACCATTTATTTTAAACTGAAATATATTCTCTAAAGGATTAGTAAGCAATTTTTATCTACTTTCTTACTTCGATAAATTAACTTACGTTCATGAGAATTTATAAGTAAAAAATGACTAAGAATGATACATTAGGAGCCGCGTACGCTTCGTGCACGCGGTGTTTATGTGAGTTAGAGGGCCGATGTCTCCAAAATGCCCGGGCCGATTTTAGATCCCAGTCCGGGCCTGATTGTTAATATATAGTGGTAGTCACAGATAGTTTACTCTTACACAATAAAAGAAATGAAATGCTTTTACTATCAATATTTCCTCTTTAGTGCCTAAGTAATCAACCTGTTTAATTCAACAGAAATATTATGTCCAGACATCTCTGCAACAAAATACTTAGGTTTACCATAGTGATTTAAGTATTTTTGAAAGGAATAAAATCTAAAATGCATCCTGGAAATATACAAAATGGAATATAATTTTAGCAGGATTCACGACGACAGAAAATTACAAATAAAATTTTCTTTATTGCTAGTTAAGAAAAAATAATTTTATGAAATTTCGTAAACTAGTTACTTAAAAAGTGAAGCATAAAATGTCAGAATAGCATTTGGTTTTTTTAAAACATATACTTTTTTTTCTTCTTCTAATTGTGCAATTTAAAGGATGAAAAACATATTTTCCACCAGCTTCATTAATTTTTAAATATCAATGGGATGCTATTTTTCTACTTATGATATGTGAGGCTTCTGCTAGAAACTTCAGAAAATACAAAAAGCAAAAATAAGCAAAACAATGGAAGTTATGTTTACATAAATGAGGGTAACAGTAAAGGTTACGTGAAGTCAAGAGGCATGAAGTTGTACATTCATTCATTTTATTATTTCTCATTGATTATTTGTCTCTTTGATTATTATTCTCATTATTCGTATTTTTAAAACAAACAAAAAATTATAATTAGTTTCCTTTTTAAAATTCATTCTCAATCCTAAAAATATTTTAACAAAATAATACTGGGGAAAAAATGGCCTTATAAAGAGTTAAAGAAACAATGTCATTTAAAAATAAAAATTTCCTTTAATCAGTAAGTAGAAATTGATGTAATCTACTTAAATTTTACAAGAAAATATAGTAGAAATTGATAATAAATGTTATTTACCTTGGAGTAGACATCGAGGACAAAGAAGACCATTCATTCGTCATAGGATCAAAGACCTCTGCACTTGACATATGAACATTTTCATCACGACCACCAACGACATATATTTTACCTATAAAAGTCAGATATATGCTTCATACAAAGAAGGCTAATTAAATTCTATTAGCAAAAATTTTAACTGGCAACTTAATTAACAAAAGTGAATACTGGCAGATTCAATAACGTACAAACATTTGTTATTCCTAGAACAATAATTAAAAACATTTTCTAAGATATAAATTTGAATATTTTGAAAATAACTTAAGAAAAATAAATAAATAAAAAATAAAGGGAGACAGGTTAATTACTTAAAATTTTCATTTTATTTTGTTTAATATACCCACGCCTTATAAAATCAATGATTAAATATTTGAAGTCTTGTATTTTAAACAAAATACACTGCTCAAAACAATTAAAGGATATTGAGGTTGTGTGGTGATCTTGCACCTGGAGAATGATACATTATCGACAGACGTAGTAGGCTATATGAGATAAAAATGACATTTGTTTGGCAGAAAAAAAATGCTTTTTAGAGTATTTGGGTACGAAAGGAAAAAAAAACACAATTTGTGCATATGAGAAAAAATAAATAAAAAAGGTGTTCCCTTAAAAGCAAATAGTTTTTTGTAAGAGTATAGTTTTCCCGGACGACCAAAAACATTGAACACCTTTGAGGTATTGATTCATTGAGGTTATAAATAAGGGGCTGGGGAATTCTATCCTACTCCTCCTCCAGAAGAGCTCTTTCCAGTTCTTTGAGAGTTTGTGGTGGTGGTAGGCGTCCAGCAATCTGTCGACCTAGAATGTCCCAAACAAGCCTAACTGGGATCATGTCCCGAGAACTCGCTGGCAAATTAATTCGTATGATTTCTTCCTCTAAAAGAAAATCATTCATCAAGTTAGCACGATGTGGCCCGCAGTTGTGGGCCATTAACATGAAGTCATCACCAATTGCTGCAGCGTAAAGAACTATAATAGGTCTCAGGATCGGCGACCGATCAGAGCTCCACTTCGAATGATATGGAGATTGGTCCACCACTCTCCCACTACCAAATCTTACACTTTCGTGCATGAATGCAGGATTGTTTCTAGTGCTATGTTCCTTCTAGAAGAAAATATGCCTATAATCAGGATGAACAAAAAAACTGGACTCGTCAGAGAAAAAAATACTATGCCATTCATTTCTCCTCCAGTTCACATGCTCTGTTCCCCACTCCCTGTGGGCGCAACAGAGCCTTGCTGCTAACGTGACACACACCATTGGTCGGCGAGCATATAGGCCTATAGAATGAAGGTGCTGCAGGTTGGACAGTTTGTGATCAAACTGTAGTGCCAGTAGCTGAGTGAAGGTGTTTCGGTGTCTCCAAGACGTTACCGTTAAATAATGGACTTCATTAGGCGTTGTTGCACATCTACGCCTTTGCCCTGATCTTCAGCTTGCATTTTCAGTCTCCAAGAAATGGTTCCAAATCCTGGAAATTGCACTTTGAGACTCTCCAACGGCTTCTGCTACTTCGGCCTGTGTTTAGCCTCATTTAACTGGCTAAGAACTCTCGAAGTTTCTGATTCAGTTAAATGACTTTGTTAAGACATTGCACTCATTGAAACAATGCGCTTACGGAATGTCGATCATTCTTTTCCGCTTTGTCTTACATTAAGTTGAAAGCCAAATCAAATGTCTTTGATATCAAACTTAAAATTTGCATACTGAGAAGTTTAAAAATAAGAAAAACTTGCATTAGTGATTATCTTCTATTTTATAAAAAAAAAAATGTTAATACCGTTATTTTAAACATGATTTACAATATCCTTTAATTGTTTTGAGCAGTATATTATTATATACATATAAATATTTTGCAGTTTGAGAAAGGATTTGTATTTAGTGAATACATTTTAATATACAAATTAAGTTGCTTTATATAATCTAGGAATGAACATTATTAAAAAATTAAAATTTTAATACTTGAAATAGAAAGTTTTCAACATTACTCACAGCTAATAAAAATGAAAAGAATGTTAAAAAAAAAAGTTCTTTTGACTTTCATACTAGTTTTCACATAACTCAAAGGGTTATAAATATAGCAGCAACAACTTAGTTCAGAAAGTCGTAGAATATCTAGTGCATCCTAACAGGATAGCAAAGTATCCAGTATTGTTGCCAGTGTACTTAATACGTAAAACTATCGATTTAGTAAAAGGGGCATTTGCAGTGTGTGTGAAACTTTACAGTGCTGTTTCAGCCACTTTATTTAAGTAATCAGCAGTAGTAGATTAAAACAAAGGCTACCCATGACAGAAATGTACTGGAATATTAGCAAAGCTGTTGCAAGAATGTATTACCATGTAGGCCAATTGCATAATGGGTGAAAGTGCTTAGTGCTGACTGAATTTAAAACTGTGAATTTGCATCACAAAGGTTAGCCCTCCAATTTTTAGCATCAGATGAGCGGTCTCCTTTGCACAGACCGTTGATTCATTGTCCATGAATTGAAATTAAGATCAGTCATAAAACAGTGTTTCACATAATGAAAACTGTAATTGATTTTTGAAAAAGACAAAAACTGTTAATAATCTTTGGTAATGGTGATTTTGTGAGGAATTGGAACACCCTATGTACTTACCAGCAAAATTTTCTACTACTGCTACAGATTTTTCATTTGCATTTTTTATTTTACTTTCTATGAAGAATTTGTGTTATTTTTTCATGTAAGAGTGCTTTTAAAATGTGCAGATTTTTCCTTTAAGAAGATGAAAACATTATTTAACTAAGTCTTTACATCCTTTTAGTAACATATTTATTATTTTCTGTGACTCACTACTCCCATTTTAAGCATGTCAAATGTTTTCATGAACATCTAGATAATTTTCATCAAAATGATTTTCATACACTTTGTAATTTCTAAACATGAAATTTTCTTATTTTGAACACATATTATGGAAGAATTTTTTTTGAAAAAAATTTCTGTGTAAATATTATTTACATGTGTTTCGATTTTGAATACTAACTTAAAATTAATTTGTTTCACTTTAAAGATTTTAAAAGTTCGGATCTAAATAAGTTTATAGATAATTGTCCTTCTGTTGCCTTATTTTCTGTCCTTCTGTTACCATATTTTTTGTCCTTCTGTTACCAATAAAAAGCTACTAAAATAAAAACCCAATAAAATTTTAACTATTTTGTATTAATTAATGAAATAATTATACTTTGTACACAAAAACATTGATTTCTAAACCTAAAAGGTTCTAGGTGAGATAGTTGGGATGCAATATTTTGGTAACGGAAGGACAGTTATTATGTCACTAAATTATAGGGCTGTTTCGTGGTTAGAAAACTGTACAGAGTAAAAGTGACTTTGTCCCTGATTTTCAGAAAATTAATAAGTTAATTGGAAAAAATATGCTATGATTCAAGAAATTCATATATTTCTGAAGAAAATAATGTGTGACCAAATAATTTAAAAAATTTAAGCCCCTTGTCTCCTTTTTCCCAGAATTCACCAAAAGCTTTTTTTTTCGTTTTTTGCTTACTTGTAGCAAAGTAAAAGTTAAAATGATTTTATTTTCCTATAATAGAATGTTGAAACATATCTAATAGTATGGTAACATTCAGTTCATTTACAAAGTTGCTCATATTTAATTTAAATATGTGAAGTCAAAATACACAGTTTTTGATTATGATACTATTTATGAAATTTTTATGCATAAAAATAAATATGAATGTTTAGTAAAATTTCAACTTCATGCCTAACAATAGAGGCCTAAATAGTTTACCTATCTTTGTAACAAACAATTTTGTTCAAAGCACAATTGATTGAGTGTTTTTTCATATTCTTTTCTTCAAACAACAAAATTATTCTAGACTTGATGCATTTAATATAATATTATGTTTGCTTATTTAAAAGATTTTTCATAAAAATTGATTTAACAAATGTATAATAATTTTTATCTAACTTTTATTAATATCATGTTAAAATAAAGCTGTAAATTTTAAGACCCCTTTTCGTAAATCTATTTATTATTTCGTAGCAGACATTTTTATTTTTAAGAACTTTTAAGACAAGTATTTTAGACACATGGTCACTCATATCTAATATGATTGTAACTAAATTAAAAAGATAATTAAAATGTTCTTTTCCTCTGTTGTTGGTGTGAAATTCTAAACACCAATAACTTTTTTACTCTAGTACACACAAAGCATCTAAGAACTAGAATTTTTTACCATTGATGAATTACTTGCTACATATCAATAATTAAAAAAAACAACTTATTTTTAATGCAGAAAACTTGATAATTATGTCATTTGTAACATTGCCTGCTCTTCAGTTTGCAATTACCTTGTACAGGCATGCATGCTAATAAAAATTAAAAAAAGTACTCCTGTAACAGCCCATTGTAGGTCAAGGTGGTAACAGCAGTTAATTCCTACAATTTCATGATCAACAGCATGATAGTGGTAATGTTACCAACATTGTATACTGGCCATTTTTGTTGCTAAGGCAATTCGGTATCTATGGATTTGAAGTTGGATGGGATTCAAGCTGAAACCTGGTACTTCATAATGACAGGCAGTTTAGTGCCTTTATCACTGTATTGTAACTCATAGACACTAATACAAAATTGATTACAAAAGAATGCAATGAAGAAATAATGCCTTACTTAAATACCTTTTAAAGAAACACATCCTACATGTCGACGACTTGTAGACATACTATTCAGTTTAACCCATTTTTGATGGTACCAACTATAGAATTCTATAGATGAAAAAGGGTTGCCATTCATTCCTCTTCCTCCAACACAAAATATCACCCCTAAAAAAGGAAGACAGCTACAGCTTAGATGAAACATTCAGATTAACATAACAGAGTTCAATAACAGAATTTTAATATAACTAAAAAGTAGTTTAATTGCAAAGATAAATATGAGGAAAGAAAAAATAATTTTTGCTCCAAAAGTGCAACCAATTACATTGAAGGAAAGAAAAAACAATTAGATTAATTACCAGCATAGCTCTTCCTAGGTCTTGTTCTTTGATTGACTGGCAAGTGGGTGGTTGGCAATCTACTAACTTGCCACAATTGATAATGTCTAGCTTCATCTAATAAATCTCGGCATTCTAAATTTTTTCTCACTAATGAATCGGAATCTACATACATTCTCAAATATGACAGCGGTAAAAGAGGAAGGTGAACTTTTGAGAGTAATTTTGAAAGTGAATCTCTCCTTTTGTTTACATCATGTTTGATCCAAAGCATGACTGCTTCGTAAACCTTTAGAAAAAAAATTTATATTGGGATTATAAACTGTAACAATTTTATTAAACGCATATAACAACAAATTAAATTTTATACTGAATTTTAAAATGCAGATGATTCATTACAAAAGAAATTACTTAATGAAGAGGATTTTACACATTTTCAATTATTATTCTCTATTTAGAACAGTACAGTTATTGGAATATAGTGTACACAATTTGATTTAGTTTTTTTAACATAATCAGCTAAAATAAATCTGAAATCGATATGAATTATCTTTTTTTTTATACTATTAGATGCATTTATATTTTGCATCTATCATCAGATCCATATATCATCTCATGTTTTGCATTAATTAATGACCTACAACATTAAGTTGAAGCATAGTAAAAATTCAAGACACCATTAAAAGGCAAAAGAGTTTCTCCTCACACATGCATGTTTATACATAAGTAGTTCTAAAAAGATGAAGCACTTCAAATTTCAAAACATAGATGATTTAAATTTCAGGGCAAAAAAGCAGAAAATGGAGCATAAATGCAGAAGAGTTGACAGCTATGTAAATGTACTGACATGGATATATGTTTGCAATAAATAAGAACACATAAGAAACAAGAAATTTTTTTTTTAAAAAACTCTGACTTTAAGTTATAATTTAAGTCAAATCTACTGTTAAACATAATTAGAAAAAAAAGAAGCTGAAAATTGCAAGTTTGAAAAAGCATTTTTATGAGAAAAAATGTTAAGAGTAAAAAGAATGCTGACACACATCATACCAGAGTGGTAGTTTAACCTTTTATAGTGAGAATTAATAGTTTTGTTTGATGTCAAAGCTACTTTCATCACCTGAAAATAACCACCTGGCACATGGGGAGTTAACAAGAAAGAGTGGCAACTTAAACTAAATAAGCTACCGATCACTTTTATTCATCATTTTTCTTTTTTTAAAAAAAATACTGTTTAATGATAAAAGTACATCAATGCAAAAAGACTTAGAAAAATGAAAAATTGACATTTGACTGTGAAAAAGATTTCAAAATTTCACAATTATTAATCATTTTGCCATTTGATTGCAATATTTTCTTGTTAGTATCCCATAATTTCTTTTCTTTTTTTTTATTTCAATATTATAACAGTCAAACTTTCCTTTTATTTTCATTAAAACTTAAACTTATCAGATTTTCATTGAAAATACTCTTTTTTTTTCTATTTCGAACCCCATTTTCAGTACTTCGTCGAGACTTCAAGATTTATACCTTTATGGATAAAAGTTATAAAAATTTTTTGAGATATCAAGAAGCAACTTTTGTATACTATTGCTTTGTGTGTGTGTATATATATATATAGCATTCTATTGTAAAGATGTACTTCTTTTTATCTGAATTTTATTTTTCAATTGTAGGTAGAGCCCTCAAAATTTCTTTTAATTGAAAACAGCTTTATACCATTTTATTTGTGTCATATTGGAATAAATTTTTGAGCTACTGCTTTATTCCATTTCAGAATTTTTCTTTTTAATGTTGTATAATGGCCCACCATAATAGATATTTTGAACCAAAGAATTGGATTTATTTGAAAGTCAAAATTTATAAAATAAAAATATAACTTACAAAATGAGAAGAAAGGAGAAAGAATGCTTATAACAGAGCGCTATACTACAGAAGAAATTTTTAATGGAGAATTCTGTTTTACTTCTATTAGTAGTATTTTAAAATTTAAAGTTGGGAGAAAAATGAGCTCAGGCAAATCTAAGGTAAACTATAAAGTTCCAAATGTTTTTTTAAATATCAAAATGCAAACAAATTATTAAAAATAACTTTCCCAAAACACAATTCTGCCTTAATTTGTTATTTTAGCATTTTGATTATTTTAGCTATTGAGTAGTACTTGTTAGCATTTTGATATTTTGAAAATTTATAAACTCTAAGTTCACCAGAACTAATTTTTTCTCTACTTAAATTACTTATAAAGGTGAACAGAGAATTTGCCAGGAAGGATTTCTCACACATTATAGCGTCCAATAGAGACTGTTAGTACTTCATAATGGCATGTTTTTATTCCACTAGATTTCTAAGTACAACTATATACTTTTTTTCGAACCATTACTTAAAAATACGAGTACTTTGCAGTTTCGCAACATTAAGTTATTAACAAATTGTAGCATTGATTTACAGTTAAATCAGACATATATTTACTAACAAAATTTTTTGGTCAGTCAAATAGTTAATTATTCGATCATGTCAAATAGTTTAATATCACACCTAGCAAAATATAAATATACTCACTTCTATTTCATTGTCTACAAAAAGATCCTGAGATGATATTATTTCTTCTAAATGTTTGGCACTAATGGAAACAAACTCTTCTTCTAAGATGATTTTTCTAAAATGCAACTTAGTAAATTCATCAGCAGCTTTAATAAGTTGTAATTCATTAAGTTGATGGGCCAGCTGACGAATTCCAAGACAGTTACTAGGATGAAGTTGTGAGCCAATGAATTCACAGCAGGTTTGAGCTAAGGAATCAAACTGTAGAACTGAAGAAGCATGTAACAACGCTTGAGCATTTGATATATTCAATTCAATCTTGGCAGTATACGCAAATTTAATTAGCATTTCCATAGTTGTTTCATCAATATCACCTATTGTTATCACATTTTGCTTACTTTCAGCTAAAGGAGTTGTAAACATAGCTTGAAAATAAGGGCTACAACAAGCTAACACATTACGGTGACACTTTATAGATTTACTGCCAGCTTTTATCACAACATCACAAAGTATTTCTTTTTGTAGAAACTCAAAGAGCTTATTAAATGAAGATTGAAGCATTCCACTGACTTCAAAAATAGAGTTTTTTTCTGGTTGTGTAATTAACATATCACCCATCATACAAGAGACAGATCATCAAAGAGGTAAAGTTCATAACCTGTAAAAAATATACATTAAAAAAATAATCATTTGTATTAAGCGCATGCATTTAATTCACATCGCAGTTATGCAATTCTCAATAAATTCTGGAAATACAAAAACGTGACACTACAATTAAAATAACATAAAAAAACTGCAAGCATTTTTTAACAATTTAAGAAGAATCTTACATATCAAGTGGTTTCATAAAATTCGTAAAGTAGAAAATTTTAAAACAGCATAAAAAAAAAAAAATTGAACTGGAAATTAAAAAAAGTATATAGAAATAGATTGGTTCATGGTGTATGTAAACCTCAGAAATTTAAAGCAAAACAAATTTTTGATTGGAATCCTCAGGGCAAAAGAAATAGAGGAAGACCTAAAAGTACTGTACACTATACAGTTGGCAAAAAATGGAAAGAGGCAAATTATCTGGTCACAAATAGAGTGAAATGGAGAGCTATGAGAGACACACTATGCTTCATTCAAAAAGAAGAATATGTATTATTTAATTCTCATCTACTGTCACTGTTTGAGCAATAACTAAGTATATTTATTCTTTCATATTTGAAAAAAAAATTATGGAATAAAACATGCATAGATTAATTTCAAATAATCATGCAGGTGTTTGGTTTTTACTGTACAAAATGTTAGAAAATAACATAAGTTTTACAATTAAGAATTAACCATGTAATAAAATTTATATCCAACTTAGTTTTCCTTAATTTTTAATTATTCTGATAATTATTCTCAAAGTTTATTTTAATCCTTTCAAACAAAGTTAATTTTTGTTTAAAAGAAAACAACATTTCAGCTCATTTATTTTCAGTTTATGCACACAAAAAAATCTGATTAAGAACTAGACTGATACCACTCTAGGCCTTTAAATTCACTTGTCTGCCATAAAACTGAACTATTAAAGGTGTCATTTTTCATTAAATGTTTTCAAATTAATAATAAAAATGCAGTCATTAATTATTTTCAAAATAAATAACAGCTGTTTGTTCACAATTGCATATGAAATTTCTCGGGGTTCCGTAAAAAGTAGGTTGAACATCCAAAGTTCCGTGGCCAAAAGAAATTGGGAACTGCTGAAATAGAAAACAAAACACCCATGCTTTTTAACATAATGTAGCATTAAATAAAATGAATATCTACACTGATAGAAAATAAAATTCCAACACCAAGAAAAAATTAATGAAGAGCAATGAAATTTCGGCAATGCATTTGTTTGAGTAAGATATTTATTTGATTAAAGTTGCAAGATCACAGGTTAATGCAATTAAGAGAAAAACCATTTCAAATGTGAAATATTAATACATTAATAATTGGTGCAACCACCAGAATTTTGAATGCACACGGGCATGCATTGTGTCATTCAGATGCCATATGACATGTTGTGGGATGCATGCCAGTTGCACTTGGTCAATCAATATGGGGATAGTTAATGTTGGTTGTGGAGGACGCTGAAGTTTTTGCCCAATGATGCATGCTAAATTGGTGAAAGATCGGGTGATCTACCAGACGAAAGCAACATGTCGACATTTTGTAGAGCATGTTAGGTTACAATAGCAGTATGAGGGCGACCATTATCTAGTTGGAAAATACCCAACTAAATGCTGTTCATGAATGGCAACAAAACAGGTTGAATCACCAAGTTGACGTGCAAATTGACGTCAAGGAGCATGGAATAGCCGCGAGAGTGCTTCTGCTGTCATAGGAAATAGCACCAAAAACCACAACTCCATGTGTAGGTTCAGTGTGTCTAGGCTAGAGACAGGTTGGTAGCAGGGGTTCACTTGGCCACCTTCTAACTGATATACAGTTGTCACAGGCAGAACAGACTTTCATCAGAAAACACGATAGATCTCCACTAAGCTGTAATTCAACACTATTTATGTAGTAAATGGCAGTGGTTTGGAATGAGTGGAATACAAGCCACAAGGCGTCTCGCTTGGAGTCGTACACTTGAAGTAGCCGATTTGTAACAATGTGTTGTGTCACTGCAGTGCCATCAGCAGCTCGAACTTCTGATGCAGTACGGTTCGCCAGAGCCATACTGCATCAGAAGTTGCATCTCCGAGTTTGAATCCCATTGATGGCTGGACGATACGAATTCCACATCTGACTTGCACTGACCACAGTGCTGACATAAAATATCCTCAGTGGTAGACAAATCAAGGGATAGAGCCCTCTCACCATCAGGCCAGCCGTGGGAGGTTTTGGTGGTTTTCCTTTTCATGTAACGCAAATGTGGGTTAGTTCAATCAAAAAGCCCTACACAAAGACAGATTTCTCCATATACTTGATCCAGGAGTTCCCTTTTCCTCTGGATTGAGTTTAAAATTACAAGGCTACGGAGTTGAACATTGGCAGTGGTAAACCCAAAAAATTGGGTCGGTTGTTCAACATGGGTTAAAAAATCATGCACAGTAGATACATTTCTCCCCAGTATTTCTGCAATATGGTGGAAAGAAAATCCACCTTCTTGCAGCTCTATTACACAACCACATTCAAAATCAGTGAGCTCTTGATAATGGCTTCATCTTCTTAAAGGCAGTCTATACTAACAGCAACTCACTATGTCAAAATGCAATGCCAAATAACTCTTACGAACTGTAGAACACATATTTAAAGCAACCCTGACTTACAGGTAAACAGATACTAGCGCTTAACTTACACACCAAGTGTAAAATTTAAATATGAACACAGAAAATATTAAAAATCAATTGAAAAATATAAAAAATACCTCATCAGACCTTTGATATTCATAAGGCTCATCAGGCAAAGCATGAATCTTTAATAAGTTATAAAAGTTTCTTTAACTTTTTTCCTTAATTTGTTCAATAATTGTGTTACTTAACTTGTTTTAAAAACTTTCAGAATGTGAAGTTGTTGGTAGTCTGTTTATTTAAAAATTTTTTAGAGGCATTATGTTTCAATCTTAAATTTGCTTATCATAATTTATTTTTATCGATATTTTTGTAGGAATGTAGTATACGTAAAGATTTAAAAATTACACACACACATATATATATACATCTTTATTTAAAGTAATTAGAGAGTCATATTCGCAACTCAATTCAAAAAATTTTATGAGCAAATTTATGTTTTATTAGCTTCAATTTAAACTAAATGTATTCATACATATATGTATATAAATACTATTAAAAATGTTCAATTTTTTTTAACGAAATAAACAGATTTTTTTTTTTAAAAAAATAAAAAACCCCATTTGGTTTATACACTGATTTAAATTACATTTGCTTAAAGCAACTAACCTTGCTTTATCTCCTACGAATTTATTGCTTTAAAACTGCAATTTTAATGTCAAAATCAGTCTAATGATTCATTTAATAAAATTATAAAAGTTCAATTCTTGAATTGTTTGACTTCCATTAGTTATTAGAGAAACTCTGCAAACTTATTTCTCTTGTTCTCCATTCAGATTTAGAATTAATTCCTAAATTTCTTATACTTGTTAAAAAAAGATAATCTAAACTAAAGTAGAAACTATTTTAATAGCAAGGAAAAAAATATAACAAATTATATTTTTTTATCATATAGTAAACAATAAATATTAGTTTAATTTATAGTAGATATGCAGACAAAATGTAACAACATAACTTGTAATGAATTTCAAACATGCTCTTAGAGACAGTAGCTAATTATTATCAGTTTTTTGAATTACATAGAAAACATATGAATTCCAATGCACTCAATATCTTGCCCTACAACTATATAAACATTTTATGAAGAAAAAAAAATTACAAAACTAATATCATACCCATGTAAAATCATTCTTCTGACCTTCATATTTTACAGAGTATTGGATTTCTTTTACAAGGTAGCTTCATTCATGCTGAAAGCATACTTATCACGCACGCCAATTTTTTTGCCCTAAAAGTATATACAATGAGTATACTTGTTTTTGAATAGAAATCATTCTTAATTAAAATAGTCAGTTCATTTTATCCTAAAGAAGTAATATTAAATTATGTAAAATACAACTTTATACTGTTAACTCAATTAAAAATAGTAATAAAATATCAAAGACATTTTATTAAAAATTCTAAATATATATAAGTTNTCTTAATTAAAATAATCAGTTCATTTTATCCTAAAGAAGTAATATTAAATTATGTAAAATACAACTTTATACTGTTAACTCAATTAAAAATAGTAATAAAATATCAAAGGCATTTTATTAAAAAAACATTAAAAATTCCAAATATATATAAGTTTTGCTGAGTTAATTATTAAATAATCAATACCATTATTTTGGAGCTAGATATCAGCACATAAATTGGGATTAAAAAATTGTTTTAAATGAAAAACGATTGGTCACAAAGATTTAAATCAAATATTGTCTCAGTAAAAATAATAATAACTTTTGTAAAATTTTAGCATATTTAGATAAAAAAATCATGGTTACAAAAAATTCAAAATCCTAGAAGATAGCTAAGAAAATCTCATTTTCAAAACAATTCTTGCGCGTATCAGCTGCCAATCATAAACAAACTTAAAAAACATAACAATAGATCGGTTAACAGTTAATTTTGTACGGCCGAAAAAGGGTGTTTTGTTATTTAAATCCTTATTCTCACTGCATGCAAATCAGTTAATGAAAGTATAGTGCACCAATTAGATATTAAACAAAGCACGTGGATCAGATCACTCGCAATATCAGTAACTTCTTCCATTCGACAAAACAAGTACAGGCTCTGAAAAATATTCTCTATTTCAATCGAAAACTTATATACGTTTTCCAGTTTGGACATATGAATGGCATTTTCAATATAAATGCAAAAAACAACGCAAGCTCTTAATCTGTTCTACTTCTGGTTAGAAAGTCCCTCATTGGACTGATAGCTATGACACGGTTCCCAACAGATCGTCGAAGTCAAGCATCACTGGCTGCTGTCAGCGTGCGGGTGGGTGACCACTTGGAACAGTCTGCGTAGGGACCATGGGTGCGGTGTAATGGTCCTCGTTAAACTGTTCTATCGTAAAGTGCTCGACTTCGCGTGCAGGTCGTCGGGCTACCGAAGCGGGGGGGCCATCCCCTCTGAGGAGGATCAAAATTGTGATGGCATGTCTTCGGATCATCCTCAGGGATGCTTCCCAAACCGTCGCCAATAGCCCATTGTGCAGCTCTAGTGCGACGTAAATGAAACTACAACAACAACTGCAACATCTGGTTAGAAAGCATATATATAAGGAATAGAAAAATATTTCCATACATGTTATTTAAAAAAAGTTTTAATACAAATTTTTGAACTAGTTACATATATTTCCAAAACTAAGTTAAGAGATTTTTTGATTTCAATAACAGATTCTGATGCACTACTGTTTACTAATTTCAATACACATCTTTTTTTTTAAGTTTTTGGTCAAAACTATGCAACATGCGGTATTTTAATGCAACATTTACATAGCTGATGCTTGTAAAACTGCTTCCATTCAGTTCTGTATCAAATATTGTCTTAAAAAAAAGGTAAAAATATCTTTTGAGACGTTGTTCAAAAACGAAATTTTGAAACAATGTTTTGATCACTGCATGAAGAAAAAAATTCTGCTAAAATTATCGTACTGTATGGTCATGACATTTCTGGTAAAAAAAAATCATAATTCTGATAATAAAACTGAAATATACGGAATTTAACACATTCATTTGATATTTTTTTCTGTTCATATGGCAACGGTTTACCTGAAATTCTGGTTTTCAAAATTATTTTTTTATTGCTACAAATTTAGTAGAAAATACAAATCTGAAAATTAAATTCAACCGAATAAATGGTTTTTATATCATGATAAAATTATCAAATTTTTCCGCATTTACCAAATTTTATCACTTGTAAAACCATATTTTATTGTTTATTTTACAAAAATCATTTCCAAATCACTTTGGTGAAAATTATCAAGCTTTTCGATGTTCCCATAGAGCCAGAAAGAGAGTAAATTTTACCATATTCTGGTAGTTTTGACTAAACCTTTTTTCTCAGTGTGCACCATATTATACAAAATACATATGATGTTACGTGTTTCATTCAGACGTGTGTAACAGGGAAATAAATATTGCATGCCAAAATCAACCATGAGAGGTGATTCAATGATGTAATCAGTCATCGAATTTTTGGATTAACTAACCGATAAAATACATCGAATATGAGAGTCGGCGGTCTCTTCAAAAGAGAGTTAAATTGATCAGAGGCATACTTCAGACAAAATTCTGTTGCGCATGTCAAATTATGTCCACATAAATAAATACGTCTACAATAATATGTCTATAATAAAATACGTCTTTCTTTGCTTTAATAAAAATCAGTCTGGGTAGGGACCGAGGGTGTGTAGGTCCTCGTTAAACTGTTCTACCGTAAAGTACTCGACTTCGCGAGCAGGTCTTCGGGCTACCGAAGCAGGGGATCAAAATTGTGATGTCAAGTCTTCGGATCATCCTCAGGGATGCTTCCAAGACCGTCGCCAATAGCCCATTGTCAGCTCTAGGGCGACGTAAATGAAACTACAACAACAACTACAACATCTGGTTAGAAAGCAACATCTACATCTGATACAACTAGCAACTACAACATCTGATCGAAATGGGCTGCAGGTGGCTTAGAGCAGAACTCTCTACCTATGGCAACACTATGGCGCATGCTTTCCCCATTAGCGTGTGGAGAGTCGTAAAGGAAGGAAATACGTTAGTTTCTCTCTTGATTTTCATATAGATTAAAATCTTTTAAGTTGGAAAACTATATGGAACTGAAAACTGCATTGAACATAGTTCTAAAGAAAAGCATTACGGAAATTTTCAAAAATATTTTTATTAAATGAAAAGGAAAAATATTAAGAAAGGGGAAAATATCGTAGTACATTCTTATGCAACTGAAAAGAGGAGGAGAGGGAAGAGAGAAGGGCCCAAAGCATGAACCCGGTCTCTCCCTCGTCCCGCAGTGGACTGATCGTTCTGGACTGACACGGTTTCATAGAGTTGAAATACTGGGTAGAGAGAGTAGAATAACCCCCGACCCGTGGACAAGATAAAGTCACGTGACTGTAGCCCAAACTTGCCGTTCACTGAGACCGCTTCGATTCCCGTCCATTCGTTTAGCATTGCGATCGTCTGATGCAATTAACTGTCTGTCTTTTTAATTCAGAAATAAGAATGGTACTAAAGTCCTGAGCATTTTGCTGCACGGAGAAGTTTTCTAGGGACTGTCCGATAACTTTTTACAAGAAAGGGCGACATTTTTTTTCACTTTTTCTATTTTAAAATTGATTTTAAAATTTTTCCGATACTCAGTCATGCTCTGATAATCATGTTTTATTTGCTTTAATAATCAATTACGCTCGTTTTTGCTCACTTTTTTTGCATTTAACATAAGTTTTTATTGTTTCTTAAACTTTAAACTTATAATGTTTAAGTATATTTCAATATATATTCTATTTTTAGCTGAAATAGCTGCAAAGCTTTGTTGGCTTCCTTGGCGAGATACTTTAGCGCCAAGGAACAGTTGAGTAAACTTTCGGTTTTGTTTTAGTTCTCTTTAAATGTCGATATCATTTCTGTATATTCTGAAGATTTTGTATATCTTTACCTCTTGATTACTAAAACCCAATATTTATCTTGTTCTAAAATGTTTCCTTTAAATATATATATTTAAATAAAAAATATGGTACATAAGAAGTTGTGTTTTTTAAATTACATAGGAATGCTTAAAAACCAAATTATTTGTATATTCTT